CCCTATTCTTCTCTATTACATGATCAGAGTGCTCTTTTTCATATGATATAAATCATGTGGATTTTGGAGGATGCCAAACATAAGTGTTATGAGGGTGGATGGATGATGGAAACCCTTTCACTGGCTTTTAGCCGCTTTTGGGAACTCATGGGGACACATGAGATCATGATCCAGGCTGGGTAAGTTGATCTTTAACAGTTCTGTTACTGGTGCCCATCCTAAAGGTATGTACAGTAAATAGAGATGAGGCTGTGACGGTTGGATTTCTAAGCTGTAAAAAGAAGGAGCTTGCAAAGGATGCTGAGGTGAGCATTGCCTCTGACTTGGCTGCCCAGCCAGCTGACTCAGTAACAAAATAAGAGGAAACCCGGGAAATGATTCTTATCTGTCATTTATAAACTGTTTCTGGACATTTCCTGCATCATGTCTGTGTGGCATATGGCACTGATTCCTGGAGTTTGACTGGAAAAAAACTTTGGGATATGGGTCACGGGCCAGTTGGTTGCTGTAGGTCAAAAATGCTGTTTCCTAACTCAGGTATTCTGGTAGATGTGTGCATGCTTCCTCTAGTCTGAGCTGTGTGTGTAGACTCTGTTGTGTTGCTGAAAGAAAAGATACTTTAGCTTTTACTAAGCCACTGCGTGCCTATTGGCTAGTTTGTGGTTGAAGCAGAGTGAGCTTGCATCTGCTTCCAGAAAGATGCGCAGGCTTTTTCTGTCTCCTCTTAGCCAGTGGATCTGGTGCTGTGCAGTTAGTGTTAGGACAGCTTTGTGCTGAGGAAGTCGAGGGGGAGCAGGAGGACACACAGGGGTGTGCTATTAGTTCTGAAGCTCGTAGGTATCCATTCCCTTGGTATCTGCTCTGTTTTGCCGGTTCAGGAAAGTCATGCAGAATAGAAGTATGGTGGATCATAGCTGTATTTTCTCTATATTGTTTGGTACTGTTTGTGATCTCTGACAACAGCGGCATTGAAAAGGTGGCATTGGATTCCCTTCCCTAAGTACGGTGTGGATGGTTCCCCTAGTGGTACAGCTTTGTGGTGAAGGTGATGCTTATGCTTCATCTTGATTAATACATCCAGAAAACATCAGCTGTGTCTTACTTTGAAAAGACATGTAAGTGTAAGAGGAATGAGAGTTCTGCTTGCTAGAAGTAAATACTTTCTTGATCGTATTTGTTGTTTAAAACATAAATAAGCCTCTGACATTTATTTGGAATATATGTTTTGCAAGTTAAATTGAGCTTCAGTATGAAAAGATTTTGTATCTGTTGTGATAAAATAGCATATGATATAAACTGACTTTGCTGAGTGAAAGAAGAAATCATTATTCTGTTAAGCTAGACATTGTAATGCAGGTAGCATCTAATCTAAGATGCTTAAACCTGAGAGAAAGCCTTCATTTGCTGCACTCAACATGTAGATGGATAGACTGTGAAAAGGGTCAACATCATATGTACACTGAAATGATTGTCTGGTGGAAATTTTAGTTGTAGACATAGGATTCAAAACAGACTTTAAGAAGTGAACCTTCATGGAACTTTTTGTTGGTGAGTTACTATTCCCGTTCGTAAGATCAGAGATCTACAATGATAATTTGAGACAGAAGCTGTGGAAGAACCTGGTGCTGCCTCTTAGCATATAACTTGTTTTTATTTTTCTGGATTGCAGATTTTTGATCTTTGCTATGAAACTGGACTACATTCTTCATATGGAGCATGGATGTTGAATGTTTTCTGCAGTCTTGAAACACAATATTGTGCTTTTTTTTGGATAATGTTAGGATTTTTAAATCAGAGCTCCATTGTAGTCCACATTATTTGCCATTTTGGCTTCACTAATTGTAATATTTCCCTTAGTTCTTAGATTACAAACAAGAGTTCAGATGTAAAGCTAGAAAGTGAAAAGCCAAGAAAAGGTCACATTTTTTCCAAGGATCTGATGAAATTGCATTTTCTTCTTCATGCATAAGTCTTGGAACTCTGTGTTGTTTGTTAAGTCATGTTTTATACAGAAGGAATTGAGGTTATAATAGCCAAATCTTTTCACTAAATAATTTGGTTTTGGTGATTTTTTTGCTCTTAACCAAGGATACCTGGAACACAGAAGTGTAGTAATATAAAGTTCAGTAGACATGTAGACATGAATCTGAAACAAAAGACCAGAGAGAGAAATTGCATCCAGCTTTTTGTCTTTGGGAGATCTCTTTTCATGTCTTAAAAATTCAGATTTAAAAATTCTCTTGACAGTTGAGTAAAGAAAGTCTTCTAGGCTAGAAATATAGAAGAATATTTATCAAATAGTGAAGGATATGTTCAATTTAACAGAAAATGATACCCAGCTTTTCTTAAACTGGAGTCCATGATAGGCAGAACCTCAATTTTTAAATGCATTCCTTCAGGTTATATCTAGGTTCTTAGAATTCCTGAAACTGAAGAAACCTCACATGCATACTTAAAAAATGGAGCAGATTTTGAGGATATCGTAGACCCAAATTATGTAGCACATAGACCCAAATTATGTAGCAGGTTCTGTATTGGTAACAGTGATCTGCTAAATATTTTGAGGGTAAAAACATAGGCATTTTGGAGGTATAAGTTAAGATCTAAGACTGGTTTTGTTGGGTGTAGTTTTCCAAGAAATACATGTGTGTATACATGTGCACAAAGACTGTTGTAAGGGTTCTATTAGAAACTGTGCCTTTACAGTATTTTAGTTTGAAATAAGTATCACTGCATGGTAATTTCTAGAGATCTCTTTTGGGAGAAGAGTAGGGGAAAAAGAAAACCAAAACAAATCAACAACACTGTTCATATATTGATCCCATTAAAGTCAGTAGCACAACTTCATTGACATAGAGGAGCAAGGATTTGATATATTCTGTGACTCTTAAATGGATTTACATTTCAAAACACTCTGCATTTAATTTTTGAAAAAAGAAATTAAAAAGTAGTGATACAGTAAGAAGTTAATCACTGGCTAAATTTGTGTAATTCTCATGGTTTAAAAGTCAGCAACATGTAACAGTTGTAGACTTTTTAAAGTAATGGTAATACGAATTAAAGTGATTATAACAGATTGAAGCTGTTGATTCTGTTTTTAGTTACTAATGTAATTGTACAACTTATGTTACACATGGAAGTCTTTTTTTATGTACAGCTGAGAAATCAATAAAATGGGACAAATTGGTAGGTGTATTTCTCTTTCTTACTAAGAAAGACTAAAGTTCAAGTAAAAAAAAAACTAAGCAAATAACTTAAATATAATTACATTTCCCTTATCTCCTGGCACTATTTCTGTCTTCTAGGTTTTGTTGGACTATTTTTTTTTTTTTCCTTTTTATACAGTGCTAAGGTTTTGGTCAAATAAACAAAAAGCCCAGTTTTCTTTTAAATGTTCTTTTCAATGCGTGGCTTGTCTAGTCCTCATTTTTCTATTTTCCTGGGTTTTTTTTTTTTTCTTTCTCTGTGTAGAGCTTTCTTTTAGTTATAAACTGGCCTTTTGCTGATCATAGGTGTAAATGGCATCTGTTAGCAACTACATATGGCCTAAATTATTCACAATGAGCAACAGAAATTATTTACGGAACATACTTGCTGTATGAGGAGTTATGGTGTTTCTGAAATAAATGCTTGGTATTTCTAATTTGGGATTTATTTGTAGAAAATGTGAGTTTATAGTACACTTTATGAAAAGCTTAATATTCTACATAGAAAGAAATAACATGGCTGTGCCCATTAATATGTTTCTGTCAAATACTAAGCTTACTAGGGTGATTGATTTTAATCAACTTTGGACCATCCCATTTCTTGATTGGCATGAATTTTGAGATTTTTTGGTTTGCTTAACCTTTTTTACACTGCCTTTTCTGATTTTTATTAGTATGCCTGATTTGTTTTACTTGGGGCATAGCAGTAATTGAGATAGTAGGAACAAGTGATACTTGTACCAAATTCTTGCTCTGTTGAAAGGAGTATTTGTTTTAAGAATATGCTCAAATAGTTGCAAGCAAGTCAGGTTGTCAGAACTTTGCTAATTAGGGAAAGTACTTGTAAAATAAAACTTTTAGTCAGTCTTGAGAAAGTTGTCTGGATCAAGCTTTGTTGATTGAAGACTTTACTGTTTCCTAGTTGCTTGTCGTTGCTGTCAGAGCACTGCTGGCAATAAGGGTTTCATGAGTTTGCCCTAATCAGTGCAATACAAGGTCAGCTGGGGCAGCACAAGCCACTTGCATTGACTTTTTAAACTAACCTGCCCTTTTATTTATGCAATTGATTAGGGAGGGGGTTTGCACCATCCCTTCTTTCAGCAATAGTGTTGGGGTGCTAACCTCCAGCTGCCTGGATGCATTGACCATCTGGGAATTATATTATCTTTGTCTGGCACAGCTGTTGCAAAGTGAATGTCTGTCCCCAGCCTTAAAGCACTGTGGAGGGGATTTGAGCTAAAGCATTTCACTTGGTGATTGCCGTAGACTGCCACAACAGGCACAGTGCGGTTGCTTATGCTAAGCCAACAATGCTTTGCCGTGTGGTTGTAATGCAGTAGAGTGTGATCACAGGCGGTTAATGAAAACTCAGCTGACAAGGAGTAATTTATCAAGCCATGGTAACTTGACCAGTCTTGGTCATGTGTACACACATGGGTCCGCTATTGGACATCAGGGATGTGACTTAAAGATAGCTAGTACCAATGAAAATGTGTTTTGGTCTGAACAGGTTTTGGAACAGGGCCAAGGTGAGGAGTGTGGTGCAGTGTTGCGCTGTGCCAAGGAATTGCTGTGAGTGGATTGATAGCTGGGAAGGGTCCTGGAATTCAATGGCTTCATGAAATGACATGTCTGCCTTGAGTAACACTGTGATTTAGAATTACGATCTATTTTTTCTGTAACTTTTCAGTTTGCCTGCAACATTTGTTCTGTCTGAGTTTACAGATACAGTGGATAGACGTTGTAGATTTACATTAAAGAGGTACTTTTCTGAGGCAGTTTTTAGCTAAGAATATCTTTATTGACAGAATATGCAGTTAAGGGGTTTTTTTTCCCATGTTTGATAGGCCAGTGATACTTAGCAACTTGAAATTTTACCTCCTAGACTTGTTTCTAATGAAAGAAATTTTGACAGCATGTGAAATACAAAATACCATAGTAGAGTAAGTTGCTGCAGATGAAACATCTGTATAAAACAACCATTGTTAAGACTATAAATTTGGATTTGGAAAATGTGGTGGCGGTGGTGTGAAAATGTTTAGTTAACAGTTTGGGGTCTGGTTTTGATTGTCGATTCATGAGTCATTTACAAAAACAGAATTATTTACAGCTCTCACACATTCCTGTAATATTGGTAATGTTGCGTTTCTGTAGGCAGTTTTATCTAAATGGTTTGATATGCTCCTGATTTTTTGTTACTAATGTAATGTACTTGTACTATCATTTTCTAGGTATTTCAACAGCCTTCTTCAAGTGAGCTAGAGTGTCTTTTTACAATGCAAAAATCTGAAATAGAGCTTTTACAGGAAAAATTGAAAAAAACAAGTTTTAACCTAACAGAGCATAATTTGTATGCTACAGATACTCTGGAAAGCAACAATGTAAGGACTAGAAGAAAGCATAAGGTAGGATAGTTTTATTGTCTTGTGTATTTGTGTCTAAGTCAGGCTGGTAAAGCCAAACATTTTTGCTCAAGGGTCCAGATAATAATTTTTATCTGTTGATGCTGCTTATAATTCTGGAAGCTTGTTTGAATGGTTCTTGTGTTAACTGCCAAAGACTTGTTAAAATAGCTGTTGGGAGTAGAAGGTTTTACCTTATTAAATACTGAATAAGGGATTCTTAATTAAATGAAATATTTGAAGGATAAATTCTTCATAGGTTTGTCAAAATGAATATTTATCAGGTATTTTGTGGTGTTTATCAGAATGACCATCTTTCCCTGGAAGGAAAATGAGAGAAATATAAATGGTTATTATTATGCTTTTATAAATGAATTTTTTTTTCAAATTCTTTATTTTTAAAGTATGTTGTAGTATTTTTTCTATGAAGAATGACAGTAATGTCCTTTTGAAGTTTATACTTTTGACTTTTTATTACTCTGTATAATGCTTCACTGCTGCTTTCATGACGACTGGATGTTAAGTTTAGGCACCAGGTAACAGTAACAGCCATAAACTATAGCTAATGAAATAGATCTGTAAATAATTCTACAGCTTAAATTGATTTATTAAATTAGCCTAAGTCATGTTGTTTTCCGGTGTGTTCAGCCTCTTCCTCATCTAAAAAAAAAAATTTTATTGTGATTGTATAGAATATGGGAAACTTGGAAGAGATTTCTGTAACAAGGAAGCAAATAGGAACATGCTTCTTTGTGGTATGAATAGTCCACAAGGGTGGACCATCATGTGCTGCTTCTTTAGAAATCTGGTTTTCCTACATTTAGTATCTTATAACATTTCCTTTGAAAACTGTATGGCTTGTTCTTTCTCAATATCCTGCACTGTAAGCTATTTTTGGGAAAATACATGTTTTGGAACGTTGTTTAGGAGTATGTCGTGGTGCCTATGTGAAAATATGTGTCTGCTGCACAGACAGTGTAGAGTGAAGAACAGAAGGTGAGAAACAGCCCTGCAAAACACCAAGGTCAGAGAAGGAGGAGAGGGAGAAGGTGCTCCAGGTGCCAGAGCAGGTATTTCCCTGCAGCCCATGGAGAGGACCACCATGGAGCAGATGTCCACACTGTAGCTTGTGGAGGAGCCCACACCAGAGCAGATGGATTTTCCCTTAAGGAAACCACAGTGTGTGGAGAGGAGTCCATGCTGGAACAGGTTCTTCTGACAGGAACTGTGACCCATGGAGGACCCACTCTGGAGCCGGTTTATCCTGAACGACTCCAGCCTGTGGAGTGGCCCCATGCTGGAGCAGCGGAAAGGTGTGAGGAGGAAAGAGATAGGGACTGCCTGTAACTTCCCATTCCTCATCCTTCTGCGCTGCTCAGCAGGAGCTACAGGAGTCAGGAGTGAAGGAGTGAAGTTGAGCCTGGGAAGCAGAGTGGGGAAGAAGGTGGTGTTTTAATATTTTCTTTACTACTTACTACCCAAATCTGTTTTAACTTGCAATAACTTGAATTAGTTTTCCCCAAGTTGAGCCTGCCCATGATGATGAATGGTAAGCAATCTCCATTTCTTTGTCTCAACCCATGAGCTTTTTCACCCTATTTTTCCCCCTGTCCTGGTGAGGAAGGAGAGTGAGTCAGCAGTTGGGTGGGTGTTTGACCCTTTGCCAAGGTTAACCCACCACAGTGTCATTTCTTGTTTTCTCAGAGTAATGTAAATGAAATTACTGTGTTTGTCATGAACTGATCACTGTGTCAGGAATGAAGCTATTACTTCCCTTGAGTAAAACTAGATACAAACTTTTAAATCCTATTGTAGAGAATCTTTTTCCTTTTTTGATATGTAGATCCTAGTCGTGCTCTTTCAATACTCAGGGTTGTTTGATTTATGCACTTTTTCACATTTACATGCAGTCTGTATTAAAACTTTTGGAGGCTAAATTGACAGGCTACAAATCCTTTGTATTTAGGCAAGACAGTAAGGAAAACTGTAGAAACATTCTAGCTTTAGGATCACAAAATATACATATAAAATAGAAAAGGTAGTGCTGCTGTCTTTACTGATTTTTCCTTGCAATGAAATATCTTCCCATTACCTTGTTGTTCAGTCTTTTATGACAGAAGTATTCATGACAGAAGTTATTCGTGCATGATTTGACAGGAAGAATATGTTGGATATACAGTTTCTGGTTTACAGTGGTGATCCTTTTGGCTTCACAAAGACTCTGTCTTGTTAACCCTTCATCCCCCCCTTATGCGCATTCCCAGGATACAAAGAACAAACAAGCATGGAATCAATTCTGATCAGAATGACACTGCTTTGATTACTTTCTGCTCTAAAAAGCCAAAGATTTTTAAAGAAGAAATAATTGGAAAGGTGTTAAAAAGAGGGCCTGGGACAAAACAGAAACTTGCCACTAGTGTGATAAATTGGGATGTGTGGCCACATGACTATGCTTCCACCTATGTTTGGTTCTGCAGAATGCAATGATATATATACATCTATAGGCTAGTGCTGTTTTTTGTGAATTGCAGAAATTCAAATCTCTCACCTACAGTCGTACAGAGTAATAGAAAGAACTTACTCTATGAGACAGATCATGTGGTGGTTAGAAGCTTTGTTAAATGTGCATGTGTGGTGTCATTTTTTTTGATACTTTTAAGTGTGTACTTAGATGCAATTGTAACCCTCATAGTCCATTCTTGGTGGAAAGTGGTACAGCTGGGTGCGGTTTTGTATGAAGACTTCAGAGTCAGTTGCTTGGTCTTCCTGGAGTTCTTTTTGGAGCTTAAGCATTGTAACTTTATAAGCTTGTGTATGATGTCTGTTACCTAATTAAACTGCCATTCATATGTCTGCTGGCTGATTCAGTAACACAGGGCTTGTTTTTTTATAGCTAAGCTTTCCCATTGTATGATGCATGTGAGTTATAATTGCCTTTTGTTGATATACATTGTAGCATTCTTCTAAGTCTACAATGTCAAGATATTAAAAGGCATGAGTTAACTTGCAGTACTGATAAAGTTCCTGATGAAACATAGTGAATCAAGAAATTGGCATATTTCCTTTCCAGAAAACCCTACCTGTATCTTGTCAGCCTCTGGTTCAGCTTCAGCAATGTTTCTGTTTCTTCAGCTGATAAAAAACATTAAGATATCTGTCCACTGTCTTCAGTGCTGTACCCTGGCAGTCATTGATCTCATCTGAGTGTGCAGATAAGTTCTCCAAGACATTTCAGTAAGAGGTCTGGCTTCTCTTGTTTGCTTTTTTTTTTTTTTTTTTTTTTACTTTTTTTTTTTTTTTTTTTTTTTTTTTTTGACTTGTTTTGGGACTCCATCCAACACAAAACCTGTTGAATTCAAGAATGTGACTGTTTCCAGCTTCGTCCCATGGTGTCTTTCATGGTGCAGATGGGAAATAGAAGGTTGTTTAGAAAGAGGCATCTTTTCTTTTTCTGCTTCTTGTACCTCCATTAGCAGTTAACGTGTATCACATCCATTTACCAGCTATTTCTTTACATGAAATTTTCTGCCACAAAATTTCATATCCATTAATATTATGAAGCCTGTTTATTTCTGGTTTTCTGCTCTTTGGCTTAATCTTTTGTAAACACGTTTTAAGATCATTTGATGAAAAGTCTTCTGTTGTTACCCTTTACGGACATTCTTTGCTTATAAAACTGGACCTTTTCTTACTCCTAAACATTTAGAAAATGTTTAAAACATTACAATTTGTGTATATATGTAATACAGGTATGTCTAAAATTACTGTAGAATTTGACGACTGAATTAAAAATTAAATGCTTAAACCTGGCAGCAGCAGCAGCAAAGTTTGCAGTTGTGAGAAGGGCATTACAGAAGCCATCTTCCAAATTGAGTTTTGCAGCAGCCCCAGGCAATCAAATTACCGTGTATTTTACTACACAGTCTCTTCTGTCTTAGTAGGAAAATTAAACTGTTTGCCTTCTTAGCAAAGATTGCCTTCGAACTACTTATGTGCAGCTGTAAAGTTCAGACCCAGCCCCTTCTCTCCACAGACCTCTAGCCTGATCACTAAACAGGTAAAAACATATTCAAACGATAGAATGTTTCTTAATGCACATCACCAATCCCATCTCTTCCCACAGTGAATTATTTCTGTGTCCATGAGAAGTTAGGAAGTTTCTCTGTTTTTTCTGTACCTTAGCCCTGTGAAAAAGATTCATAGCACAATCCCAGGTAGCTGTATATAAAGTCTGTGTGTGTGTGTATATATATATATAAAAAGAAAAACTGTTGTGTACTCATTGTATCTGATCACCTTTGATTAAAGCCGCAAGACTACAGATTTTCACATTTTTCTGTATTTTTTTCTCTTTTCTCCATTCCTTCATAGAGTCTCTCTCATTATTCTTAGGTTTGGTGTTGGTTGCTCCACTTCTTTTCCTTTGTTGTCCCGCTCTTCTGCAACAAATGCAGTGTTTTGACCTTTTATTCCAGATTTCAGAGAAATCGTGTATTTTCCAAGTCTTCTGTATACAAACATAAAGTTTAACTAGGAAACATTTCTTGAAAAATAATGCATTCTGGATTTTTAGGAAACATTACTATGGGTATGCAATAATTATGAAATGTGGAAGTTTTATTTAAGATCTTGGTTTTATTCAAGAAGTCTGGGACTTTGAAATTTAGTAGATTTTTTGATATGTTGGTCTTGGGATGTTCTGCTTCAGACACCTGAAGGGGATCAGTTTGGTTTTGTGAGATGTTAAAATCTTTACTGATTAATATCAGCATCTATTAACTGAAGTAAACTTTTGGGTATCTCTACCAGAATTATTAGAAAAAAAATGTAAATCAGTAATCTTACTATTTGAAAGGGATCTACTCTTAGTCAGTACAATGTTATAATGACAATATAAAACCATAAATTTGGAAATACTGTTTTAAATGTTCATTAAAACTTTCTTCTAGTTTCTTCTGTTATATAAGGGAATTGACAGGAATATACAAAATATGTCCATTTGACATTCAGATTTTAAATGTACTAAAATTCTTTCCAGATGTTAGTTTTGGTTTGGGTTGGGGTTTTTTTCCCCATCTCATTCAGGCTCATTTCAGAAGCAAAGGAAACCCAAAGCCAAATGGCAAAAACACCTTGGCAATATTTAAATTCTGAAATATGTCTGATTATTATTTTCTGATATTTCATGATTTTTTTTTTCTCCTTTTTGGAAACCCATATGCTTTAAAGTGAAATTATGGTTTACAGTGTCCTGTAAACATTTAATGCTGGAAGGTAATGGTCAAAGAAAAAAATGCCAGTTGCTCATTAAGAGTCTTTTTAAGATTAAATTAATTTAATGGAATAGTAACAGTGTTGAAATATATAGTATTGAAGAAGACTTTATCCTGAATTCCTTTTGTTGTTAATCAGTTATTCTGCAGGGAAATGGCAGCATGCAACAACAATGATCACAATTAATCTTAAGTTTTTGTTTGACTTTATTTACATAATGGCATTTTACCTTATTGGTATTAAGTGTGTGTTAGTATTTCTCTGTCCTTAACCAAAGTTATTCAGAAAATCAGAAAGTCTAATTTGATGAGGTCTTTCTTTGCCATAAGGACATATGACATAGAATGAACAAGAAAGCTGCCCAGTTTAAGTGTTACTTTCACATATTCTTTCTCCAGATTGCTATATGAAGCTGTACATAATATAAACACATATTCTTGTCTCTAGTTAGTCACATTATAGTTAATGACCATATGGTCATTATGGTATAAGATCTACTGTCTGTTGTATTTATATTCCTCAAGCATATTGTTCCTTCAACTTCACAGTGTGTTAAACTATTTCAAAGGGAAAAAAATCCTTTCCCTCTTGTTTCTGGTTGTCCTATCAAGTGTAACCTTGGACCCTTATAGAGCAATTAGACCAGCCTCTATCCCCTCCTTTGTAATGAGGTTTCTTGCATTTCTGAGTCTATAACCCTTTAGTCTTCCCTAATGGGACATCATTATTCTGAAAGAAACAATGTAAATGTAAATGAATATTCTCATTAACGAGTCACAGAGAAACCTTTAGTGGTAGCGCTGTGGTAATTCTGCTTGTTATTTCTCTGGTATTCCATGCAGATTTTTTTTTTTTTATAATTCATTATTAGTATTCAAAATTACTTCTTCTTTAATTCTGCATGTCTTTCATAATCCGGTATTCCAACTAGTTCAACCATGTCCTTGTTTTATTCTCCAGGAACCACCTGTGAAACGTTCAAGGTCTCTGTCCCCAAAGAGCTCTTTTAGAGAGTCAGAGGAGCTAAGGAAGCTTAAAATAGCTGAGAGGAAGATTGAAAACTTAGAGAAGACACTACAGCTAAAGGTGAACATTAAAAAAATAAAAATAAAAAAACCCTCTAGCTATAAGCTTGCATAGATAAAGATATACCAAAATAAACAGACATTTTAAAAATGCAAAACGCACATATTGTTATGGACTGTAAGTGTGTTAGCATAAGAGAGCACTCTCCATTAGTTTGCCTTTTTCCTTTACTGCTAGGAATCTTGTGTTGGTACTCCTGCAGCCCTGTGGAAGCCTAATTCAAGCTGTCATCAACAATATATGCTTGTTAAATACATTTTCAAAATTTGTGCCTGTGAATATGTATTCTGAGAAATTCATGTATTTGTATAGAAATAAAGTGAAGCAGAAGGTACAAAAATTTCTTTTTTTGTACAGTGAAGCCAGTATTTTAAAATGCTGAAGTCAATTGCTTGATTTGCCCCTTCTACTCATAGAAGTTATGGCTCAGAAGTTGTTCTAACAAATGCTCTAAAAGAAACCCCCAAAACACCCACCCCCGCACCCCACCCCACCCCAACCCTTGGTAGAAAGCTTAATTGAGCATACATTACAATTTTTAGATTTTTGTTGGTTTGGTTTTTTACTTCAAAAATAGTACCTTTTGAATGACCTGCAATTCGCACTCCCCTCTTCCCTTCCCCTCTTCCCTTCCTGTCTTTTTGTTGCTTGTGTTTGTTCAGAGTTATGGAATTTGAAAGATATTTTCAGTATATGTAGCCTAAAGCAGAACTGGTTATACTGAACATGCTGTGATAAACGTCAGGTAAGTGAAGAAATTCGGGGAGCCATACAAACCATAGTCCTGAACTCCTGTCTCATGCAAAAAGACACTCATATGTGATAAGTCAATCTTAGAAAAAATGTGAGTGGGAATTCTATTTTAGCAAAAGTTCATCACCCTGTATAGTTTAACACATGTAGAATGTAGGAACAAGAAAGGTGGTTTAGACGTCAAATTCAGTCTTACAGACCATCTTGCTCATTGTTCCTCGGAGTCAGAAGACTAATTTTGTTTTGTTTTTTCTCTCTTTTGAGAAATCTAAGACATGTCTTACTAGTTCTACCTGAGAACTGGCCTTTGGCAGACCTCCTGTTTGTTACTCTTAGCTGGCCTGCCAGGCACTGATGCTACAGATTATTCTGGCACTGTGGACTGCAGCTGCTCTGCCCTTGGCAGCAGAGCTCACACATCAGTGTGTATGGTTGTTGTCTTAAATGATAGAGTGTTCCACACTTCTTTGTGTTTTCTTCTGGAAAGGGGAGTGAAGAGAAGCACTCTGATTTTCTAAGGAGATACAGAAGAGAAAGGATTGTTATTCTCTCTGCATGAACTCATAACATAATGAATTCGCCATACTGCCTTTGTCATTTCTTCTGTTTCATCTTAAAAGCATAATTTAGGAATCTGTGCAGCTTTATTATGTTGCAAGTGTGGGATCTCTATCACAGTTGCTAATCCATGGTGTCTTTAAGGCATAAGTCTTGTATCTCCCCTTGAAACTGAATATATGAACCTCTTCAATTGTCTCTAGGAAACCTACTTGGTTTCTTTTGCAGAATGCTTTAATTGATTGAAAAGAAGCTTTATAAGCACAGGTCAACATATTAAACACTGTTGTGGCACTACATTCAGAATCCAGTGAGGCTATTGCCAGCATGACAGTGAACTCAGCTGTCATAACATTAACATCAGAATAATTCTATTCCTATTGCATGATTTCTTGATATTAGCCTCCTCTCAGGTATTACTTCCAACAAAGATTAATGCACGTGATCAACATTTTTGAAACTAGTGCTTGCATTATTGCCTCCTCAAGCAAAATGTTGACTGTATGATTACTTGAAATATACTTGCTCAGAAAAATGCTTTCTCTATCAATAAACATACTGATGAAGCATATCCTGAAAATGAAATTGTGACTTCATCCATCAGTCCTTCTGCAAAATTGGTAACAATTAAGAAAGAAGATGAACGGCTTTATTTATGGGGTTTTCAGGAACAGGAATATTTGATGCCCCAGTCGATATCACAAAGGAACAGAAAAGGGCAAGGTCCCATTCATAGGATTTTCCAGTTCTCCTCAGCTGACTCATTTCTTGCCAAGGAAAGTTGGTTCTCACTGTCTTTATTGGTAATATAAATAGGCTAATGTAAATTCAGAGTGTCCATAGTTTTGGTACAGAATCAGCTTCATTTTTACACTCCAGGACATACTAAAAAGTAACAGGGCATGTCTGATTGCACCCTTTTTTAGGGAAGAGAATGTCAAAGTAATTAAGAATATTTCATGGATTTTGAATAACAAATTACCAAGAATGGTCCAAAGCATAAGTACATCAATCTACTGTTGGTCTTTAAGAAGTGGCTAGGAGTTTGGTTGCCAAGAGTTAGATATTTGATAGGAACTAAGAATGTGTTCTTTTCTCCCATATTATGTTTGTAGAACTGTGATCCCTGGTGTAGCCTAGAGAAGATCTTCCTCGTTTTAACTGGAAAGTTTTCAAAAGCAATAGGAGATCTTAGCTTTGAGTTTTCTCATCCTTTCTGTTTAAAGTTCTAAAATTTTGGAGATAATTAGAACTAGAATAAATAGTCAGTCTTTAGGACCACCTTAATACTTGTTTATGTGAGCGAGGGCACACTTGTATTTAGTTTAGATTTCATATACAGTCCTGTTCCATATAGGGTGTTCAGATGCCAAAAACATACTAATCTTGTGGCTTTTCCACATAACTACTTGTGGAAAAAACTATTTTTGTAATGGTCAGGCTCCTCACTTCTTGTCAGCCTAAGAATAGTAGTCAAAGAATTGAATCAGTATTTCTTTTTAATTCCATTTTAGTTAATTTTTTACTGTAACAGAAGTTGTTACAGGTCAATTTCAACAAAATTTTGAAGTAGTGGTTAGAATCTTTTGGCTTGTCTGAGCTGCCCACAAATAGCAAAATGTAATTTTTTTTTCCACAGGCAGTTACATTCTTCCTCTTGCAGATTGGACTTTGTCTTTTTGCCTTTCATTATTGCGTGGGAAACACTATAGAATGACGGTGGAGAGCTAGAGAATAACCTGGAGATGCAGCACTGCTAGAGATGGTTGTTCTTTCCCATTTCTGTCAATATACAGAAAACTGTATACAAGACAGTTTAATTATTAAAAAAATATAACATAATTCAGCCAGAGAGAGATGGAACTAACTGAGATTATGGAAATTACAGTGTGAATTTGAAGTCCTGAAGCACTTAATTATTCAATAAAAGAGAGTGATTGGGACAGTTAATAGTCTAATTTCTATTTCTGTGAGAGCAGAGCAACTGATAAGGAAAGGGAATAACTGTAATGGAATGGATAATTGAACAGGTAAACAATAATGAAAAGTGTAGACTCATAAATAGGAAAGGCCAAATTCTACACTTGCTTGCATCTGTGAAAGGGCATTGACACTAATAAACTTCTGAGGATTTATGCTGAAGACATTATTTTCCAGTACCTTGCCAGACTTGATCGGTTTTCACTAGCAGTATCGAACAATCTTAGAACAATGATTTCATGAACTTCTCTTGAAAACACAACACCTATAATTGCATTCTTATAAAAACTTCCTGTTGCAGTGTCAAGCAAATCTTGGTAATAATCTCTATGTCCTTTGTCATAAATTTATCTTGCTATTTGTGATTGTTTGTAATATCGTTGTAGTATTTATATGAGCTACTTAAAACCAGTCAAAAGTACTTTTTAAGCAATTCTAAATTTAGAAATGTATCTGGTTTAGAGGTTGTTTCAAAAAAAACACCACCACTTTGGAAAATTATTTAACAGTAAGGTCACTTTGGTACGTGTTTCTATTCCTAAATCTGCTTTGTGTGTTGCCTGAGTCACTTCCAGAAACCTTCTGGAATTTTATATATAGTAGCATCTGAAATTTTAGCTCGTATCTTTCAGCTTTGTTTATGTGCCATGAAAGCTAGGCTACATCTTAGAAGCCAAGCTCAGTCTAGGTATTTTGTAGTTAGCACTACTGTAGAAACCTTTGCCATGTTTTTATAGTGGGATTTAATCTTTATTGCTTACAGCTCTGACTATTGGTGTATCTTATTTATTGACTAATGCTGAAAAGCCCTCCTTGCATATAAGCAGTAAATGCATGCAAATAAAGTATTGTGTTTTACTTAGAGATTAAGAAACATGTTTTGTAGTTGCTCTACAAGCAGAGCTCCCATTGAACTGTAAATGAAACACTGAGGGCAAATTTTACTATAGGATAACGTCTGGTGAATTCTTTACTGCTGTGTGCCAGAATTTGACTTAAATTATACTGTGGAATGTCCTCTTCTTGATAATTTTTTCCAGAGCACAGTATTGTCACTTAGGAACATCTTTTTTTAAACTTGCGTGATGTTATCCTGTAATATGAATCAAGGTACATCTTACTTTTCATCCTCTAAAAAGTGACTACATTTTTTCATGTGGTTTTGATTATATAAAAGCTATTGCAAAATTTGGTTTTATTTCTTGTTTGTTACATAACTAGAGGACAGAGTCTGGGTGTTGCAGGTTTAGATGTATTTACAGAAATAAATTAATATATGAGGAAATCCTGAAGCCATTTAAATAAATTTTTTTGATGTGGACCTCGGTGTGGCCAGTGTTTCCCTTGAAAAGATATAGATTAGTTTTCCATGGAAAAAAAAAAAAGAAAAAAGTAGTTCGGAGGAAAGGACAGTGCCAACAATCCTTTTTCAGTCTATGTATCTTTAGGTGTATTAGGCCAATGCATTCACAGGATGAAAACTGCCATTTTTGTAGTAAACTTTTTAAAACTTCTCAGCAGCGTGAAAAAAATATTTAAGTAAGTTTTGCCAAATTAGCAAAATTTGCCAAAGTAGCAATAAGAAAAATTTGACCTCAGGGATTGTGATTCCTGATCTTTCTATTTAGGTTTCTGAGGCTATTAATAGTTACTTAAACAGAACTTTTGTTTCATGTGATCTGTGTGAATGTCTCTTATATTTTGCCCAACTCTGATTTTGTTTTTCTGGTGCTATACAGACTCGAGAAACTGATGAGCTAAGAGCAGCCCATGAAAAACACAAAGAGAGGCTGCAGATGTTACAGACCAACTACAGAGCACTAAAAGAGCAATTAAAGCAGTGGGAAGAGGGTGATAGCAGGTAAGTTACATAGCTCATTAAAAACATTTCCCTTACACAAGAAATCTGAACAGAAGTATTATACAGGTATTCAAAAGAGAATTTGATTTGAAAGGAGAAGCTACTATGTGGTGATCAAGACTTTATCCTTCGTTAAAGCAGAATACATGGCATACCCCTATATGAGAAAAATTACAGTTGAAACGAAGACTAAAATGTATTGAGCTGACACCTTGACTTATTTTATTTACGATCTCATTTTGAGCCTGGGTACTGGACAAAGGTCTGCTAGGGCTGCTTATTTATGCTTGTCTAATTCCCCAGATGATTAATTTGTTGACTGTGTATGTTTTTAATTTTCTATAATAGAACAATTGCTCCTTAGGTATCAAATATTTTTTTAAAATAATTTTTTATTAAATAATATAGAAATAACAGCCTCTCTAACATTTAGTGATTCAAACATTAACTGAAGCTGATCCTAAAACCCCCTTCTTAAAAGGGAAGAGTATGTCCATGAAAAGCAGTGTGTTTTCATCTGTTAAATGATTATAAGATCAATTATTTCACATTATTCTTCAAAAATATTGCAGAAATCTATCTTTATTAATGGAAAGAAGAAAGACACTACCACATCAAAATTTAAGTAGCGACTATTTTATATATAATTTTCCCTTAAATTCTATACAGCACAGTGAAAAATTTATGCAGAAATTCTTTTTTTTTTTTAAGTCCTTAGCAGAGTTAGAATTTTTGCTAAGCAGACACATTTGGAGGTATGAAGACATTTCTTGTTGCTTCAGTTATCAGACACTGCTGAGGTACAGTTTTTCAGGCCCTGTTTCAAGAAGGTAATTTGAGCAGGTCCTTACATCCTGGTGGCTTTAGTAGGACTTAAGTGTGCACCTACATATGTATGTGTTTTACAAAAAATGATTCTTTTTGTAATTAGACCGATACTGACTAATCTTGACACAAACTTTGTAACTCTCTCTAACCAAAAAGGGAGTCACAGAAATTGCTGCAAAACTGGTAGCTATTCAGAGAGTCCAGGGTGACATAAAGGGTCCTACTGTGAATGATAAACTGTCCCTCATATATAAGTAATGCTTTGGCCTATCTGAGTAGATTTGCATTGCTTTGTAGTACTATGGCATTTCCTTAAGAATGGTTTGTTTTTTAAAAAGAAAAAAAGAAGTGCGGGTGAAAATAATGGTAAGGTACAAATCTGCTAAATGCATTGGTAGCACAGGAAGATTTATTTAAGTATCAAAGCATAGATAAATAATTTTGTTTAAATTAGAATGAAAAGGTTGTGTTTATTTGGGAAAAACATGGATGATTTTATCTTCTAGATTATTATTTTAAATTCAGTGCAAGCTGGAAATGACTGAAACCTACTGGATGATAGTTACTCTAAGCAATGAAATTATTTAATTCTGTGTCTAAGCTAAGTAGGCATTCATGGTCCACAGAGAGGCCAAGGCTGAAAAGGTACAAAAATTCAACCTAGATAAAGACAGTAAAATCAAACTTGATATACAGTGAAGCACTGAGTGTTCTGGTTCTGATATTTTAAAAAAAAAAAAAAAAGAAAGGAAGAAAAGGGAGAGAGAGACAAAAGTAACTTCTGTTTCTGTTTAAAATAAATGACACCAGCTTGTGTCCTGACAGGAATGTATTTGGGAAAAGTAGATACTGGGGAAAGGCTAATACTAAATCTTTATTTGTTCATCTGATTTTTTTCACCTATAATTAAGATGAGCTGAAAATTACAGGGTTTTGATAATTTTTATTGTCAGGACAGAATGAAGCCATCACATTAAAAGGGGTTTGTTTTTTCCTTTTTAGTATGTTTAAACAAAGGAAAGTAGCTAAGACACAAATAAAAAGTCTGTAAATGGTTATAACTTCCACTGTTATTTTGGTATCTCAAAAAGCTTTATATTGCTGGTATAATGTAAATTGTGCATTAAGAGCTCAGTATCAGGTACTTATATGGCACTTCTGATCCTCTGTAAGTGATGGAGGATACCATTCTTTCTGATTCTTCATAGATTAGAATCTGTTATCGAGATGGCAGCTGATGGGACCTAATCCACCTGTCAGTGTACATACAAGTTCCACTGACATACGTGACTGCAAAGATGATGGAGGCCTTATGAGGTTACCACATTCTCTGAGAGTTTATTTCTATGCTGGGTAGAAATTTAAATTGCAGAGTGTTTTACGTTAATTTTATAAAGTTTTTTTTTAAATACAGTTTTTCTTTTGCATTATTAAAATACATAAAAATATTTTAATGACAATAAAACTGAAATATTTTCATTTTCTGTGCATCTAAATTCAGTATGTTTTTTCCTGAGTTATCCATAGATAGCTTATTCTTTCATTAGACAGGAGATCAACAGTTTGATTTAGAGTGGGCATTAGTGCAACTTTGCAGGGGCATTAGGGGAGCTGGTGGCTCTCCCATTTTTTTTGCAAGAGATTGTGTGATGGTTTCACCTTCTGCTCTTGTACCAGTATTGTAGGGAGTGTTGACAGAATAAATGTGGGTGACACTGCTCTGCCACATGTCAGTTGAGAGCCATGGTGCCATACTAGCACCGTTTCTGTCTGAAACTACATAACTGAACTTTTCTGTAATACCACATTTAAGGTTTCATGCCTCACAGAATGTTTATACATCATACAAGGTTTACATTCAGTAGATGCCACAGTTTAATATTTGTATTTTCTGAAAGCAAGGATGCTTTTATTCTTGTGGTCCTAAAACATGTAGATATTTGAAAACAACCAACCTCTTTTTACTCATAAACAGGATTGAAAGTAGTAAAAGCAGATACCAGCATGCAGACCCCCGTCAGCTTTGTCAAGAGGATTCTGATGCTGTGTGGAATGAACTGGCTTTTTTCAAAAGGGAACACAAAAAGCTGTTGATTGAAAAGTGAGTTTGTTTCTTAAATGGTGTTTACGTAAAGAAACATTCTGCTGTGTTTTCTGAAGCTAGTGCTTTGCTGGCCACATAAGGGGAATTCCTTGCAAAATTCCAAGGTAAAACCATCTTCTACCAAAAGCAGAAAAGGAAAATATCAGCTCTCTCTTCCCCCTCCCCCCTTTTTTTCTCTCCCTCTTAAATCAGTGACAAGTTACAAGTTTGCTAGCACTAACAGAAACTGTATTCCATGATCTAGGGATTGTGTTAATTAATGTGGCTCTCATCTGTTGGAGGTGTCGCTCTTCATTAGCCTGTATTTTACACACTGCCGTGCTTCATTTTTGGAATGAGGTGGTGAGGGGATAACCTAGCCAGCCATCCTTGTTTGATCTCTGTGATACATACGCAATGCAGAATGCCTCAGCTCTCTTGGTTCCCTGCCCTGTCCTGCTAATCCCAGCTGAGCTCATTATGGTGTAGCCTTGCTGCTGCTCCTGGAGCCAGAGCTGTCCAAGCTAATTACTGGTAGCAGCAGAGCTGCCTGTTAAGGGTCTGGTGTGGATCTGCTAACATGGTCCTTGGTAGTGACCTGCAAAAAGCACGAGGGAGTTGCTCTCTTTCTTGCTGTGCACAGCCTGTCCTTTGGGTTTAGTGCTGATCCCTTCACACAGCTCTTTTAGCTGTAGTAAGTGTAAAACTTGGTGAAGGAAACTCTTACTTTAGAAAACATACAGTTTGCTGCTTTGATCTCATAATTCATAGGCTATTATACTCAGCCAGGCAAAGTAAGAAAATGTCCTTTTATACTAGACAAAAGGAAGTTAGTATGGTATAATTAGCGCTTTGCTGGTATTTAACACTTTCTGTAAGTCAAGATGATTATTTTTTCATTTAAGAATCAAGACATCGTAGAAACTTTTATTCAGACTTTGTTTTTGTCAGCATTAAAGAAAATGTGTTTTCCCAGTGCGTCCCAATGTAAACTGATTTTGTGGAGATAGCATGAAGACTGCTATCACAGAGTTTCAGCAGCAGCAAGTTGTTTTGTAGTGTGTAAGTCCTTGTGTTGCCCGTTAGCTGCTTTAGTGTATTACATGCAATATTGCCAGTAGCTGTGTTGCATGGGGTATTCTTATATCCACCAGTTACAATTGTGTGCCTGTTCTTGTCACTTCGTTGTCACATCTTTGTTTGCTGTTCTGAAACTATCACAACAAATTATCACATGTAGTTCTTTTGTTTATTTTGATTTTTACATAGGAAAGAGCACTTTATTTCCGTACATGTAATTGGAGTTGTAATTCTCCTTCAGTCACTAATCAGCGTATGAACCACAGGCAACAGTAACTCAGGAGCAATAGCATAAGCCTCTCCTTTTCACACAAAGCCATGAAAGAGAGATTGCTTATGTATTGTGCACACCCTGAAGGTTGGTACAGTTGGACTATTTTTCTAGAGCTCCTGTGCAGTCACGTTTGTGGGGAACACTCTTATGCAGATCAGTGGCCTTGACTGGATTGTGGTGAAGTGGCAGGAGCAAACAGTTGAGCTCTTTGAAATACAGAATTTTTAAGTAAAAATGAGTTCTTAAAATTCTTCATAGTACTTTAGTAAGAAGCCAGTGCACCACTGTAATCAGTAAGGTGAACTCCTTATGTGGGTTTCGGTGCTTTTTACTCCTTATAGGCAATGTAGCTTATTGTTAGTTGAAGGAAGGAATGAATGCATAACTTCTGTGTTTTTAATATCTGCCTTCAACTTCTGTCTCTAATAATGACTTGTCTAATTTGTTGAAGCAAGTCAGCATTTCAAGATCTGAGCTCATTTTCTTAAAAAAAGTCAATACTAAATTTAGTGTACTTTTTAGATCTGTGGATAGGGCTTCTTTATATTGCATGTATTCTTTCTTGAGCTCTGTGGATAAAGGACATTATCTACAGAGTTGTACCAATCACTTTGTATGTGTGATTTTACAAGGAGTGTAAGTAAATCAGGTTAGCCCATGGTTTTTGTGGATGCACTTAGTCTGATAGACTACTGATAGTTAGCTTAAGTTGATTTGGATCATGTGTAAGCCAAATCCAATGCAGCATTGCTTAAAGAGTGTCCGTGTAGAGATTTTATTTTGGTTTCAGTCTGTTTTAACTTTAAATATGTGTGGTTTCTGTCTGTGACTAGGCCAGAGAGTGAATGTTAGGAAAACAGGATTATTTGTTGTTGTTTATTTTTTTTAGCTATAAGAAAGATTCTCCTTCCCTTCCTCCCTTCCTCCCCTCCTCCCTCTCTCTCTTCCTCCCTCCTTCCCTTCTTTCCAGGGGTACAACAGTGATGTAAAATGTCTTTAACTTGCACACACACTGCTCTGGAGATAGATGGATAATAAATAAAATACAGGGTAGAACCACGGAAAGCCCGTTGATGCATGTCCCAGGCTCCAAAATGCAGTCATTACCAATATTAGCACACTGTAAACAATCAGTTTGTAAGTTATGAAATCTGCTTTTAAGTCAGGAAAAGCTGAAGTTGCTTGGAAAGTCACTTGTTCTGGTGGGACCTGGTTCCAAATCCTGTTGAAGCTGGTGGAAAGGCTTTATGTCAGCCAGTGCTTTTTGTCAGGTCCTTTGACTTTCATATAAGCTATTAAACACTATGCACCTGTCAAGGTGGACACTAACACACAAACAAATATAGGGTTTAGGACTTAAATTTAAGCACCTCTTTTCAAAAATAGATGAAGTTTCCTGTTTTCATGAAGTTCAGAATTACTAATATCAGAGTTATTATTTGGAGAATGTTGATGCAGAATGCATGGCATTGTTACTACCATTTTGTAACTTTTTGATTAGTAAAGAATAGCATGTGTGCGTTGTATTACTTTGCAATTAATGGAGGAATATGTCTCAGAGCCATGGGCTGCATCCTGTCCTTCACTAATGATGTGTAAATTTAAGCCATTTGTGCATATAAAAGAAAGTATCTTTATATTGTTACAATCCCATACTAGATTAGTAAAATATAATAATCAATAAACTGTGATTATTTAGTGTTTGCTTCATGCTTTATGTGTATATTTCTCTTGAATTTCCCAACATTCCTCTGGAAAGAAGAGTATTTTTTTGCTATTAGTCTGATTTACCTTTATACTAAATGCATTAGAATAATTATTCTCTGACTTTATAGAGACTGCTTTTAGTGATAGTTTTACTTGACTTCTTTATTAAGCCTCCTCCCCCACTTGCTATAAAGTTATATTCCACAATGTATGTGATGTGGATTGAAAGCTGCATTTTTAATTTTATGTGTTGTAAAATCTCATTTTTTAAACTCTTTATTATTTAAAAAAAAAAAAAAAAAAGAAGAAGAAAGGTCCAAAATTTAAGTTCCCTTTGAGATCTGAACCAGTAGCTAAGAAAATAGTCTAACTTTTAAGTCCTCACAGCTCATAGTCTTAAGAAATCCTATAGCAGCTACCACCTAAACTCATGCCAAAAATGAACAGTAACAAACAGGAACACAAGGTACCATTGAAATAAATTCCCTAAGTATTCTTTGATGCGTTTATTAATGCTAGTGGCCAAGTGAAAACAATTCCACAGCTCTGCTAGGATGTCCCATTTTGATCTTCTCATGTGGGTTGTTTTCCCTATGAAGTATGAAATACCTGTGTTACGCTGCAGTCATTTCCTGTTAAGTACCATTTTTTTATTGTAGGCTACAGAAGCAGCTATTGTATTGATGTTCATGTTCTGTATTAAGAAAAACATGGGATTTGATCACTTTTTCTCTCCCTTAAGCAAACAGAAAAACATATTAGTATTCAAACAGTAGTTAACACTTAGCTGAGGAGGAGAGTGACCCATGCTTGTATAAATATTTTTATTTGACCTGCATGAAACTGCTGAAAACTTGCAAGAGGAAGATCTAGTAACATTTAAAAAATTGAAATTTCTTTTATTCAGCTGTGCAACACCAGTGCTTTCAGATTCAGCGTCTTGCAGCTGCATAGAAGTGGAATATCTTCAATGAAAATAGGCGTATCATTTTACAGATAGATAGATAAATTTTTATAGATATATCTATAAACATACACACAGATATATATAAATCTAGTATAGTTCTCAGGTTTTTAGATAGATTATTTTTAATCTTGGCTATTAAGTGCTAAATGTTGTCTTACTTTCTATAGAATTGTATTGACACATACATCCTTCGACATTTTCTTCCCACATTAGTCAGATTCATCTTTGTATCTGTATTATTTGCATTTTGCTGAAATTCAGGGTAAATTAGTATGTGGCATGTCCAATTAAACTGCTACTTGATTGCAAGCTAGCTAAGTTAAACTACTTTGGCATTTCCATATTAAATTCTTGTTTGCCAGAGCATAGGGATACCCCGTCCCTTTGGCCTTTATGTACAGACTTTGGAAAGGTATAGTTGACTGTATATAAAATATTTTGGAGGCTTTAAAATTTCACATCTTTTGTTCTGGATTACATTGTAGCAGATCTTACAATTGATACCAGCAACACTGAATTATTTGACATAGTACATTATTCAACATAAGACATTATGACGTAAGTCATTATCTTCACAGCTAACTGGAAATTGGTTGTCCATATGGTATGGTCATATGCACCTTGTGATAAGGAGGAAACATTTGTAAAGTGAAAGAGATAGCCACATCATTCAAAGAACCTTTGGTAGTCATTCTTTCCTCTGAGTGTCTGGGTAGCTGTGCATGTCCTTCATGTAGGAAATGTGCTCTGGATCTTTGAAGTACATGGAATCACTGCAAGCTGGGTAGCATCCTTACTCTGCTATGCAGCTCCTTAATAAAGGTTTCTTATTAGCTTTGCTTTTTTAGGAAAACAAGACCTCATGGTTTCTGCTTTCCTTATTCTTTGTAGAGTCAAAGCAACTGTTCTATACCCTATGTACTGGTATCTCACCAGCCAGCTGGCAGGAGCCTAACTTGGGACCAGCAACACCATGGGATGCCTCTTACC